CATCAAATCTGCTTAATCTCGTACCATTTTTTTTTAAGTTTCAAGAATATTCTTGGTGTAGCTGATCATCATGTTTCGAGTGATTGGACCTAAAAAATAACAAATATCAATAAATAGAATTCGGAATTTATTCCAAAAATATTTTTCCTTGGAAATTATATAGGAATTCTCGTTAATATACTGAAAAACTTTTAAAGGTGGTAGGTGCATCAAAATAAACATTTTTTTGCTTAATAAAATAAAAATAATTTTATTGCCCAACAAATTAATCCATTTACAGAACAAAATACATGAAATAAATGTTAAACATAATATTTCAACAGAAAATAATTTTTCTTGCCTATTACTCTTATACTTAACCAGAACTCGCTTAGACTCGGACGCATATGTCTAATTCGGCCAAAAACACAGCCTTTGTACACAAATATCTTTTTTACCGCTGGTTTCATTACAAAAAACTGGAGTAAAGGGTAAAATTATCTCTTGTCCAGTACACTCGTATGAGGACAGCAATTTTCACCCGAGGTGGTTTGTTAAAAAATATAGAAAATGATACTTTCTCTAGGTCTGTACGTGCTGTTTATGTATTATGAATGTAAACGAAAGGTACTAAAATGGATGCAAATAAATTGTTTGCGTTGTTATTATTGTTGGAAGAGGAAGAACAAGAGGAACTGGCAATTGCAACTGTCAAAAGTTTCCAATAAGCCAGTGGATGAGTTGTTTTTGTGTCGCGATATAGAAGGTGCCTTTAATATCATTGTTGCAGCGGAGGTTTTTTTGGAAATGAAACCAAATTTAGGGAGTATTTTAGACTTTCTACAGATCTTTTTGAATTCGTGTTGGGTTTTATAAAGGACATAATTTCCAAGAAATCTAAAAATAAAGTCATGATGTCATTTGTATGTGTGAATTTGTCACCCATTGTTTTAAAATTAATAACAATATAGTCTCAGCACACGCCGACGATTCCGCTGATATCAAACTCAACAGATATCAACCGACTCTTCGCGACAAATCAGCGGCATGACGCCGTCCTGCTCAGCTAAGCGGATTCAAGAAAACCATTCCCATTTAAATGCTCTGGTTGGATAAAATCGTCAAAACGCGACGGTTGACGGACTGTCCGCTCACCGCGACGAAGTGTTCAAAGAAACCAAGGCTTTAGCTAAAATAATTTGGCTAGGTGCTCTTAACCTAATACAACCTAACTATAATAGAAAAAATAATTCAGGGTATTTTTCATAATTGTACTGAACTGTAGGTACTATTAACTTTTCAATAAAAAAAAAAAACAAGTGGGTAAGACACATGGGTTGTGGTGAAGTAGCGATCTGACTCAGCCCTGCACGGTGTTTGTGATGGCAGCTCCAATCATGGCTAACAACGCAGCGACCCAATCCAACATCCATGTGATCGTATCAGTTGGTGTTCAGAATGAGTAAGACCTGCCTGGTTTACTCTTCTGTATTAAAAATGGAGAAGTTCTCAAAATGACTTTATTTAAAATAATTCTGACAAACTCAAAAATTATATCGTCAATCAATAAAAATAAATTATGTTTTACATAGCAACTATATATACTACTTATATCTAAAACACTAACTATTACTCTCATTTCCAACATCCTCCCACCTTGAGGCTTTTAACAAAAAGACTCAACAATAAAATTGAAATATGTCAGGAGCTTTTATGGGTCTCATATAATGACTAAACCTAGTTTTAGCATTATCGGAAACGTAAGTAAGGGGACTAGAGTTCATGACAGCCTCTCATTCATACAACGTCGTAGTACCCAGAGTTTTACGTAAAAGTTGCTTTAACAGTCAAATTAATCGCTCCCACCAACTACCCCACCAGGCTGCAGTTGGCGGTGAAAAGTTTCAACAAATTCGCTGTGCAGTACTATACTCCACAATTTTAAAAAAATTAATACGTTCAAACGCCTTTTCTGACCCGACAAAATTCGCCCCATTATCGCTATAGACAATCCTAGGTCTACTTCTTCTACTAATAAATTTTCTGAAGGCCTGAAGGCAACTATCCGTAGATAAAGAAGAGACCAATTCAAGATGCACAGCTCTATACACCGCGCAAGTAAAAATACATTAAATAAATCATCTCGCTCAGAAATTTTTGTCTTAATACGAAGTATTCCGTCCTTGTCTTTAAAAGGAACTAAAGAAGAAAAACTTTTATCATCAATACATTTAAACGATTCTTGTTGGGCTAACTTTAAAATCACCTCTTCAGAATTTTCTATTTCATTTATCGTAAGAAATCTTCCTGTAATATGTTCTCTACGACGACAATTATTTAAAAACCTAAGAATCCATCCAATAAAATTTACAATTTTTTGATTTGTCAGCGGCCTAATTTTTACTAGGCCAAAACTGCTTTTCCTGCAGTAACCAAAAAGGACCCTCCCACCATCAAGACTGCAACAAATATTTCGAATAACAACCTCTGGAGGGCAAATCGGCAGTATTTAATTGACCAGGAATGAAATACCAATATTTTTTTTTAGTCAACGACTAAATCTCTTTAACTCTATTCCATACAAACGGCTTCCATTGGTCCTCACGATGAATCCAAGCTAACACTGTACTTGAATCTGACAAACAATAAACCGGAATTTCATCATCAAAAGCAGATAATATTGTAAATAAAAATCTGGCACCAATGGCAGCTGCTAATAACTCCAGTCGTGGAATAGACATCTTATTCCGAATTGGAGCTAGTCTACTCTTAGCTTGAATAAGTTGGATAGAGCAGGAACCCTTATTATCTTCAGTCCCCAAAAAAACTACTGCGGCCTAAGAATATTGGCTGGCATCCGTGAAAAAATGAAGACTTTTTGAATCTATTTCTAACGTAGACAACAATGGATGTAAAAGATATCTAGGAATTTTAAAATTAACTAAACAACTAAAATTATGAATCCAATCGACAAATGTATTTTTAATTTCAAGAGGTACTTCGGCGTCCCATCCTGTCTTAAGAGACTACATCTTCTGCAATAATATTTTCATTAACAAAAGAACAGGAAATATAAATCCAAGAGGATCATATATTTTGTTCATAAAGGATAGAATGGTTCGTTTAGCAATAGTTTGCAAATTAGAAGTCTTGAACCAATCGAAACAAATTTCATTTCTAAAGTATCCTCAATACGATTCCGCTTCAACCTCAAAAGATTGGACACGAACGTGTCCGGTATAACATCATTGAATATAGCGTATTCCCAGAGACGTAAGTCAAATTTTGCTTCATTTATAACCTTGGTTGATTGATCAATAAATTCTCTCAACTCTTCTTCTGAGTCAACACTGCAGACGCAGTTATCCACATAAAAACTTTTACGAAGTTTATCAATAACAGAAAAAGAATACTGAGAGTTACTCTCAAGATAATCTACCAAAACACGATTTAAATGCAACTGTAAGACAGCATTAAGATGGAAAGGGCTACAAGTCACCCCGAAAACAACTCTTACGTGTCGAAAATAAATAAGATTACGATCTTTATCATACCATAAGAAATGCAGAAAGTCTCGATCAGCCTCTAGGATGCCAATTTGAAGAAAAGTCCTTCTTATATCAGCAATTACCCCAATTTTAGAAAGTCGGAATCCTATTAAACAAGAAGGTATCAAATCTAAAAGATTAATTCCTTTTTCTAAGCACTGATTCAAAGAAGGGGAACCTTTTTCTCGTGCAGAAGCATCAAAAACTGGTCTTAGTTTGGTTGTAGTACTATCAAGTTTTACCACATGTCGGTGAGGTAAATAATGGACGGTTTCCTTCATTTCTTCACCTATGGGTACAAATTCGATGACGTCTTCAGCTAACCATTCCGAGAAAACGTTGTACTCGTCATAGTATCCATCCTTCTTCAACTTTACCATTAAGTTGTCTAGACGTCGTTTAGTCAAATAAAAATTACTTGGAATTGGTGGATGGCTTTCTAACCAAGGTAAAGCAACCTCGTATCTTCCATCAGCGACATGAACTGTGTTATGGAAATGTTGCATCACAACCAGTTCTAATTCTTTCTTGGATTTATTATTACCAGGAAAAAAATTTACTTTCTCTAATTTAATCTTTTGGCATATTTTTAATTTTTTTTTCTTTCACAAAAAAAAACAGCCGTTTTTTCATAAAAGATATTTTTTGGAAATAATTTTTGTTTAAATTGTTTTTTAAAAAGAGAAAATTTGTTTTCTCTAAGTCAATCCTTCGCAAATAACAGCCGTTTTTTCAGAAAAAAAAATTTTGTTTAAATTGTTTTTAAATTGTTTTTCAAAAAGAGAAAATTTACTTTCTCTAGGTCAATCCCTCGCAAATTTTTTTTTTACAAAAAAAAACACTTAGCCGTTTTTTCATGAAAGATTTTTTTTTTGAAATAATTTTTGTTTAAATTGTTTTTTTTTTTAAAGAGAAAATTTACTTTCTCTAAGTCAATCCCTCGCAATTTTTTTCTTACAAAAAAATACTTAGCCGTTTTTATCAGAAATTTTTTTGAACACTATTTGAACACTATTATCGAAATGGATCAATTGAAAAAAGTTAGAGGCATTTGTAAATCACAGTTTACCAAAACTAAAACTTGGGTTAATGAAAACTCAGCGTGTTCAGACAAAGGTCCAATAATCGCCAAACTTGAAAGAATTAAACAATATTTTATCAAATACTTAGAAACTCAGGACCAAATTGAACAATCTGAACCTGCAGACATTGATAGGGACATCACAGAGGATGGATACTTTGAACTGTTTGCAAAATTAACCACACGTATAAGTTGAAACATTGTTAAAACATATCAAAGTCACTAATCATTTGTCGTTTCTTGTATTTTAAACTATATTTTGCAGTTGTTTGTAAGAAATTCCGACAAATTAGTTTTCTAACAAAACAAAAAATATTGTAATAATATGGTATAAATAAAACTCTAGTTAGATAGTAATAAAAATATATTTTATACTTAAAATAGTACAATATCTTGTATATAAAAATAAAATATAAAAAAATGTAAAATAAAGCTTTTAAGACAAATAAATACTTTTATTTTAAAGAGCTGTAAAAAATACTAAATGCTTTTTTTATACAAAAGATTTGAAATGCATTTTATTTGATTGTTGTTTGACTAAAAACATAAAATTGATTCAAAAAACACGTTTTACAATGAAAGACAAGGTAGATAAGTCTTATGAATAAAAATGTCGATTGTTCGTCAGGGTAGTTGGCAGCATTGACAACTGATAGCTGCTACCGGAATTTAAAAACCATATTTTGTTAGTCAATAAAGAATGTTAATTTTTATCCATTTATTTAATAAGTTTAATCCCTCTTGCAAACACACTGACTCATTTTAACAGTAACTTATTCTGTGAAAAATTAAATCAAATTTGGCAATGGTCGAAGAGACACTTAAATAGACAAATATTGAACAAACTTTTGTTCTTTCTTAATTTGCCAACAATAATTATAAAAGTTTAAAAGATTGTTCAACACAACATAAATATCTTTAACTTAAAATTATACAGTTGTTAGTGCTACCAACTTTTAAAAATATTTTTTTTTTACTTTTTAGAAACATAGAAACATAATATAAAATAAAATACCATTTCCCTTTATATAGGCATAAATTAAAAATAATTATACTGTGTATTGTAAAAATGTTTGCTTATTTATAAAAAAAACCTGAGATTCCTAAAATAATTTTGTCCTAATTAGTATACAGTGCGGGTCTAAAGTCCCTCCCCCTCATTTATTTTTTGAACCGTAAAAGTTAAAATTTGAAATTTTGGGAAACTGAACTATGGACTGTATACTACCTTTTAATTATATTAGGTGACGTAATCATTAAAAATGGCGGACGGGGGCCGTTTTGGAAGATAATTTTAAAATGGATCATATGGCAAGTGATACATCATTTGAAAGCTTGTTCCAAACCTTTTCCAATGACATCAATAAAAATAGAATATTTTTTCTTTTTACTCATAACGAATTTGGCACTGTAATATTCTCGTGTAAAATCAAAGTTTCTTTATGGATTCATATCTCAATTAATTAGGTTTCAAAAAATGGGGAGAGGGACTTTAGACCCGCGCTGTGTAAAAAAACTATAAACTACTACAACAGGCTATATAAATAAAATATCACGATTAAATATAAATTTAGAATCAATTAGTTATATTGACAAAAACAGAAAGGTTAACTAAAAAATGGAGCAATTCTTCCAAGTTGAATTTGAAAACTTTAAAATATAATAGGCACACATTTTTGTTTTAAAATAAAAAAAAACGAAACTGGAATGTATAATTAATTCACAGTTACACATTGAATAAAATTTTTGAAAAATAATTATGCGACTTTTTAGCAATTTTCTATCAATAAACATAAGTAAATATCACATCATTGGGGATACTAATAAGGCTGGAGGATAATCATTACTCCCTATTTCTGAACTTTCAAATCGCTTACAGCATTCAGAACATTTTTTTAACATTGCCGATTTTCTTATTTCAAATATTTCTGTATTAGATGCCAATTCAAATAAACGCGATTTGTTTTTATTTTTAACCTTCGGACAGGCGCATATATATCCCTCAGATACATCGTAATTTTCTTGTAATTTGTACTACCACGTTAAAGAGAAAGACCTTTCCACTCCTACCTACCTTCCTGGCTCCAGTGGTCCTATCAGCCGTTTTGAGATATTGATATTTTGTATGTCACAATTACACAAGACAGTTTATGTAAGTTTTTTTTTAATTCATATTTTTTAGTTCATTTACGGCTTTTGAATATTTGCTGCTAATGTATAAATATGCTTGTAATGTTTTTATTTTATCATTCTATATGATAAAATATAATGATAAGATACTATATGTATCTAAGAGAAACATATGCGCCTATGCAAGTTATATTTAATTTAATTTTTTTGTATGCATTAAAATGGCATCAGGAAAAAAGAAATACGATCTAAATAACGAAAATAATTGTGATGAGTTGAGAAATCAACTGATACTGATGTTTAATTTATTTTATACCAAAATATGGTAGTGTATCTATGAGATACATGCGCGCCTGTTCATGTAACTTTGTGGGCGCGCCTGCCGAAAGGTTAAATCCGAAGAAGTAATAAGAAACACAAAATAATCCGACATTTCTATCACGTTCCTACTAAATATAATGTATTTTTATCCGATTTATATTAATTAACAGCCAATAATGAGTTCCAATATTCACTCGTATCTCTCAGTGGGGAAATAACTGGTCCAAGCTAAGTTCCATATGATGCAGGTTCCCATAAGGAGCCCGTAAGTCACCATAGATATCCACCATATTATCCTCTCGGTCCTAGTAACGCTCAAATTCCTCAAAACATTGATGCCAACTAGCAAACCAGCTAACGCTCCCGCAAAATGTGCAGCATAACCTATGTGTTCGTTGATGTCAAGGACGTACCGGTTATAGATGGCAGTGCCGATGTCAGATGCGGCCACAACCACGAAAATAAGAAGTTGTGCGATAGGAAAAGACATTTCCTTCCAATTCTGGAAATCAATTTTGTTTAGAAAACACTCGTTTAACAAAATTTTTGATCAAGTATTTCATGGGAATAAATTTACATGATTGAATTGTATATATGGTTAATAAACATTGTACCTTATAAATTAACTGACAGCATCTGCCAATTGAATATTAACAATGTCTTGAGTCATAAAATACTTGATCAAAAAATTGGTTGACTTAGCAGATCGCAATACACCCTTTCTTACCATAATAATAGATGCGATATGAGCGGTAACCAAAGAATACACTCCTCCACTAGCCCCAGCAAGTTTAACTGTTGGATCAACCACGGAAGTACCCAGAGAACCCGCTAGTACCCCAGCTAGGTACACCACAAGTACCCTCCACCATTTATGCACCATTTCCAATGGGATTCCGAGCAAAACTTGAACCAGCAGGTTTATAAGAAGATGGAAAACGCTAAAATTCGAATTTGACATTTCTAGTAACATCATGATAAATAATAAACCAAAAGACCATTATATTTTGGTCGTTCTTCAAGATTTTCAAAACCATTTGTTTAATACCGATTATAAATAAAACAGATCAAAATCTAGTAGCTCAGTCTCTCAATTATCATCAGAGAAAATCATCTTAAATATTTATTTATAAACAATTATATCAAAATAGCTTATAGGCAAGTAAAATTTAATTTCGAAAAAATACAAATAGATATTCTAATTACAATTTTTTTTATTTAATCAGAAACTAGTACAGTGGCATGTTGTGTCAGTGATTAGGAAGTCAATAAAAAGTAATTTAATAATAATTTAATTTATTTTAATTCTTTCCTTCACTTTTACTATTTCGCTTGCTACATCGAGAAACATACTATTTATGCCACTTTATTAAAAATTATATTACTAGTGTTATTTTAAAAGTAAAAAATAAAAATATCTTAAAATTTTGCAAATACAAGTTGCATATATTTAAGGAAAGATGGCCAAAAACAAAAGTTTTATTTTAGGAATTTGAGGGAAATAAAGTCAAAAAATTATGATCAAGCAAAAACAATAAAACAAGATTATAGAAGATAACTAGGAGAAAGAAGTTCCATTTTACATAGGACACTGACGCCTGATATTCACAAATGGTATCTATAGTAGTTGTTACAAGGAGTAAATACACAATAAGAGTTTAGAAAAAATTGGACTATAAATACTTTCAAAAAAGTAATTATTCAACAATAATTGAAATAGATATAATTCTTAAATAAATTCATTATAACAAAAAAAAAATAATACCAACACTTACCCTATATGCACAAACATGTAAGTTACAAATCTCCACGCTTCTCTTCTACGACTTGGTTCATAAATAAAAAAAATGGCGCAAGGTCCAGTCGCGGATTTTGTAGATTCGTATTCAGTCGCTTCATCAATACAAAAAAATATTATTTGAACTAAAGAAAGAATAATCATCCCCACTGCGGGCGGATAACAAGAGTATTCTTCCTCATACAAACCATCTGTTACTGTTGTAGTCGTTCTGGGGACATGACGTTTGGGAACTATCAAATGTATATACCTGGAAACATTAAAAACAAAAATGCTGTTAATTTTAATATCGTCCCCTTAGTGCAACAACTAGATAACTTGAAATTTATAGTTTTGAGAAAATCCACTTTAAAGATTCAAAACCCAAAAAAAATACACCTGTTAAGTATTCAAAAATATTTAATATCTATACAGATATGTTGAATATCAAATTATGATTTGTTAATTTTGGAAACAATTAGGTTTTATATATTTGCAAAATTTAATCAAAAACTTGAGATATCTAGTTGTTGCTGAAAAAAGAGTAAAGTTATCTATTTATAACCACTAACAATTAAACTCAAATCACCTAATAAATACAACTTTATTTTGAATAAAAAATTAACAAGATTAGTTTAAATAAAACCCAAAAGATTCCACCCTTGATACAACTTAAGTGTCAATATCAATGATGTCGGTTTGGGAATCTTCCATATTTTAAGGCCGTTTACGTTGGTCTCCTTGGAATGGAAGACTTTCAAAAATGCTTTATACTCGCTAGGGTGGGCCGGAGGATTCATTTTGAACAAAGACATAAGGTCGTCATATTTTTTTAAGTGGTAGTTAACTTTGATACAAAGGCTCTTGGGTATTATTTGAAGACGACATACGTGTTTTACGTTTAAAATTTAGAAATCTAAACTCCGCATCAAAATCTTCTATAAGATTAATAATAGAATGGCGTCGATTTTGAAAAGTTCAACCAGCATAATTTCTGCCCACTAACCAAGTTATGGCTTTTAAAAAAAACACCGTAAAATCAATTTAGCAGCACAGAAACAAACCTGTTCTTTCAAGCACACAACTAGATATCTCATAGCGACCAAGAAGGTGCTGGCAGATAACTCAATAATACCAGTGCTATAAAATGTATATGTTGGGAATTATCTGTGTTTAGTCACTCTTCAAAAATAAGTTTGGTTACTCGTACATGATATCCAGTTGTTGCATTGAAAAGAGCATGATAAATACAACAGATTAAACTGGATAACTCAAAATGCATAAATTTCGAGTTATCTAGTTGTTGCACTAAGGAGGCGATATACGCAGACGCCCGAAACGGTTAGATTTCTACGAAATTACACAACCCTTCTAGATGATCCCTATTTTTCACCTTTAAACATTAACATTTCACTTCCACCAATAGTTGTGTGTGAAACCTTTTTGATTAATTTCTTGTAGTAGAAATAAAAGACGAGATATAAGGTCCTCAACTTGTACGTATGCTACAAACTCATGAATATTTAATGCCTTTACTATTGATATACTAAGTATGATCGAAAAAAAAAAAGGAAAATAACGGAACAATACTCAAGTTGAGAATCGACACAATTTCTAAATTTGGTTATAAAAAAGGATACCGCTGCACTGCTGGCTGCATGTGAAATTAGTTTTTTGGAACTGTGATTGATGGATTGATATGAAAATTTTACTGTTATTGTTTGAATGGCATTCCATGTTTCATTTCACATTTTACCACAACTATTCTGATATTTGCTATGCCATGGTATAGATGTAATATGAGCATGATGTAAAATGGAGGATAAGGATGGTTCATAAATTATTACTTATTGTATATTTTCTGATTTTTAAAACTTCTTGAGGAAACAGGAATATTCAATCGGGTGAAAAATATTTAGACGATAATACTCCCGGGCCTTATTCTCTTGTTTTCCAAAACGTTCAAATTTATTTAATTTAACTTGAACTGAATACATTTTTCATGCTCAATAAATAGTATCTCTATGGATATTAACCAATATTTACTGGTTGTTTGATTTTCACGATGTTTTATCTAGGGTTCCCGAGCGAGATCTATTAACCCCTCTCATGACAAATTTCTGGTTACGCCAATGTTCATGGAGAAAGGATAAATATAGCGACTACTGAGGTGAAATTTAAGCGTACATCGGCCGAATTGGATGACTGTTCCACCACCACTTGTTGCCATATTCTGCGCTGATGTATACTGCAATAATTGCTAATTTTTAATTTACATGCAGTTATTGTTATTGACAAACATAATTTGAATCTATACTTCTATTACCAAGGCATTGATAATTAGAATTAAAAAAAAAAAAAATATTTTAGAACCATTTATTTATTCAAAATGGTCACTACTTAAACTCTATGAAATGTATCATAAGAATAATAAAAACCAAAAATGGGGATAATTTCCAAAGAGATGTAACAGCCATTTAACCCTTTCATCCAGTATAGCTTCATAAGTTAGACCCTCTAAAAAACATTAACTCTGATTTTTCTCAATGGAAACAGTTTTGAATGATTTTTTTTAAACATCCATATAATTAAATTGTAATTATTTGTCTAATTATTATTTAGTTGTTACTAAGTACTACAAAAAAACACAGCCAAAATTTAAAAATATATTTGGTGTAAAATTTGAACATTTAAAGGTAAAAAGTAAATATGATTTAAGTTTTTTCGGTGAGAAAAAATATTAGATAATACAGTTTTTAAAGTGTCTAGAAGAGGTGTGAACAATTTCCTGAAAATCTGGCCAGACGTCTGGACGAATTTTTATTTTACTGGAAATAATACAATCAAAATTCGAAATGTGTAAAGTATCATAGGAATGGTGAACATTCTTCCTTATAATAAAGGTATACCCAACTATTGTTGTATATCTACCAAGTTTGTCTGGGCAAATTTAAATTTTTATAAAAATAAAAGATGCCATTGCCAATATTCTATTTTACAATACAAAAAATAATATATACCAGGTGTTTCTTATGTTCTTAGCCTTAGTTATTTGATAACATTTAAAATTGTGTAAGTAAATGTGATGAGTTTTGGAAAAAACTTATGAAAACTGCCACTCCCTATTAATATAGAAATTAAATTTAAGTGTTATCCTTAGATTATACAAACCTTGTCCAATAAAAAAATATTTGACAAAAGCAAGAGCATGAGGTCGATGTATAATAAATTAACATTATTTAAAGGTCAATAAAGTAGATACTTAGATAAGTTAAATAAAAGAAAGCTAACCGGTAAGGTAAGGTGGGGTAAATGGACCATGATTTTACAACGTAGGCGAGTGACGTTTGACGTATTGCCTACAAAAATAACACATTCAGTTGAAATAAAAAGTTTAAATAATTTTAGTTGTAAGACATAATATTTACTTTAAAATTTAGCATATAAATAGTTGCCATAGTTTATCATTTTATAAGCAAAAAAAATATATATTTTTAATGTCATGTGGGCCCAGTTGCCCCTTAAAGATGGGGTAACTGGATCAGTAAGATTTAGATTTCGTATGAACTTTTGTAAATTGTGTTGGGGCATCTGGGTTTGGTGCGACACACGTATATATTATTTTAAAAAATATAGACGTGCAATTAAATCACAGATATTTGAGTTTCGGTCAATGTAAGGGTATTACGTACTAAAATTACTTAAGTATAGTATTTTTAATACAAATCCCGATGCACGTCAGCAATGACGTCGGTCATTCGTCATAGTACTACCAACTAATTAAAATGTCCCTAACTAAGCTAATAATCCGAAAAAGTCACGTATAGTCACGAGCATTCATGAACGTAGTCATATTACTAAAAAGTCGAAAACTGTTATGGTGATTATTTTGATAATTTTAAGAATTATTTAAATTATTTAGTTTATACATGTCTAATTCTTGATAATATAAAATTTATAAAAACATTATTAAATGTTTAGTACTCAAAAAATAATACTTTACATTTAATAATTTTGACATTCTGTACGCCCATGAAGCTCGTATTTATAGAGAAGAAATGTCATTACAGCAATTGGTACACCTTGTTGCGGTGTTGCAACCCCTTTTTAAAAAATTTCACTGATTTAGTTAGGTTATGTTTATGTTGAGTTAATTATTGATTGTGCATTTTGTTTTCTGTAATTTAAAATCCTTTTGCCTGTATTTTTAAGCTTTGCCAGTTATACTTATAAAAAACTGTTTTTCAAAACAACCATAGAGTGAATAAGCTAATTATTTGTCGTTTAATTTTTATATACAAAATGCCTAAGAAACTAAATAGTCCTTGTCAGGAGTTGATAGCTTCTTTAATCCATTATTTTGAATGAGAGCGTGATAATGATGGACCACGTTTACTTTTAACTGCCGTAAGAGAGGTAAGTTACAAGTTATAAAATTTAATAGAAATATGAAATTATTTTCTTGTCTTTTTTAGTGTGTTGCAGCATCTCTAAATAAAAATATTTCTATTGTCAGTAGTATTTGGCAAGCAGTCAAGAATAATGAATGATTAAAATCGCTAATTAAAAAGCATTCATATAAACAAAGGATTACCTACTAATACAATAACACTGGATACAAGTGGAATCCGAAGTGGTATTTATAATATGTATGAAACAAGTAAGTATAAAGACAAATCTATTAATTCAATCATAATTTATTTATATTACCTATAAAAGTTTTAATTTGTATACAGTAATATAAATACATACTTATTTGCAGGGGAACATATAACTTTGGAACCTTTAAGAGAAAAGTTGATTGAGAGACAAATGTTTAATGGCTATATTGCATCATTGTCAACTGTATTAAAAGAATGAAGGAAAAAAGATAACCAAGACGTGAACTGTAAATAGGTCAGTTTTTAAGAAATTATAGAATTACAACAGAAGCAGTTCGTTGTCATTGATGAAACATGTATCGTTCAAAATGAAACATTAAACAGCTCCTGGGAAAATAATGACAAAGGGTGTTAGACCTACAAAAATCGATGGCAAGAGATAAAACCAAATTTGAAGTAAATTAAGGTATCAGTAATTGTGTAAATCAAGTAAAAAAAAATTAATATTGAAATGACACATCATATTGAAGATTTAATGGTAGATACGCTATTCTAGCAATCATATAAAGACAATTTAATTGGAAAAATTTGATTACAGTGGTCAATAAACATCTACATGTTTTACACATTTTCAAGATGTACAGTGAAACCCAAAAATGCCTTTTCTTTC